GTAGAAGAAACAGGTGTATGGCTTGACACCAGTGGAGTTCTTGGGGCCTCCCCTGATGGATTGGTTGGCCAAAGGCATGTTTTAGAAGTAAAATGCCCCTATACACAGAGGAACCAAGAMATTTCTGAAGGTGTTTTGAATGATGCATTCTGTTTAAAAAGAAAGGAAGATGGCACATATRCTCTCAAGCAAGACCATGTGTACTGGGATCAAGTTCAGGGSCAGATGTATTTGRCCAAAAGGCAATTTTGTTATTTTGTGGTATGGACAACTAAAGAGTCTGTCATTTTACTTATAAAGAGAGATGAGTCTTGGGCACCCAATATTGACCTTCTTTCTGATTTTTATTTCCTTCAACTTTTACCAAGAATARCAGAAGGAGAACTTTGAAGTTTTATTTGTATGTATTTTTGCTTAACATAAATGTATTTATCAATATTGACTCTAATTATTCAAAACATTTCTCTGATTGTATGAAATATGAACAAATGCAAAAATGATTGAATTGTAAATGTTTGAAAACATCTTGAAACTAATAAGGCTTTTCTTCAACTTTGAAAGAATGGGCAGGCAATTGGTTATTCCAAGTCATCTAAAAACTCATTCTTTTTATGTTTACTATCATCTAGTACAATAAAGTCAATCATTTTATCATTTGCGTGAACAGGATATAGGGATTAAAAGGGCTTAAAAGTGATGGAACAAAATTTAACTGAAGGATAAAGTACAGTGCATTAATTGACAACAAAGACTGTAACATGTTCGTCAAGTTTTCTTTACTAGTTTCACAGTAACTACAACACTTCAAGAATGTAAAAAGTACATGATAAGTTTAATAATAATATTTGCTATCAAAATATCAATGTTATACTTTGGAAATAAATATGTTTGCTATATTCAGTCAAAATTTGTCTCCTCGCTTACTTCCKTTATCAGTGGAAACTGCAAGTTAACTAGTGCACAGCATAACTGAACTAAAATTTCAGCATGACATCTAAGATAAGAAGGGATGAAGGTTAAAATTTTATAGTCTTTTATCCTTGCATTGGCTCTTTCTACATGTATTCKGCATTTKGCAACTAATTTAGTTGCTCTAGCCTCACTCTCAGTAAATTTTCCATTGTTTAAAAATGGAGGAATATTAACAGATACACCATTTGGTACAACATCTTGAATAAGAAAACCTTTATCTGCTAGTACKAAATCACCTGCTTCTAGTTGTTTTAGGAACCCAGACTTTTCTACAATAGCCTTGTCTGAAATAGACCCAGGAAAAAGCTTACTTACATAAGTAATTACTGCATTTGGGGYGACACCTATYAAAACTTTAAAAGAATTCATTCCCCTATAGGTAGAGTAAGTTACATTTTGGTGACTCATTAACCCAGGAGTGGCAATTTCAACATCTGTGCAGTCAATGACTACCTTACATGAAGTGAAATGTGAAAATGAGGATGGTGAACAAGTGTCATTCTTATATCTAGAGGGAATGGTAGTCATTAAATCATGAAAAAGAATATAATGTARCACATGGATAAATGTAGAAACAATATTAGCTATAGTGGCAACACTACAAGAAAATAACTGAGCAAGGTGCAAATTAGTATAATTTTGTCTAGCTTTCATCAAAGTAA